GACGATCAACAACTTTTTTGTAAAGGCCAAAGGTGAGGAAATAACTCTTACTAGATCAATACCTAGAGAGAAGGTAAGGTTCTAAAGAGAGAAGCTCTCAAAATGGATTTTTAGAAAGTAAGAGAGAGAGGGAGAGTGTAAAAAGTGATTTTAAAACGTCCAGCTGCCAACTGATATACGACATTCCCGCTCGAGCGGAGAACACAACGCTCGAGCGTCAAGAACAAAAATCTGGGCACGCTTGAGCGCAAGAAGACCCGCTCAAGCGCCAAGACACAAGAATAAAGCACTTCTGCTCGAGCGCGAAAACCAGTCTGCTCGAGCGTAGATTTCCCCCTCCCAGAACTTATACCCAGAAAGTGCTACCTGCTCGAGCGCCAACAAACCCGCTCGAGCGCCACCGCTCGAGTGTAAAGAAACCCGCTCGAGCGTAAAAATCATACCTGCAGAAGTTTTGCAGGGACACGAAATACTGGGGGTGTGCAATCCCCGCTCGAGCGCAAAAAGACCCGCTCGAGCGAACCGCCTAAAAACTGGGCAACAAGGAATTGAAACCAAGGCCTAACCAACCTGTAACAACCCTGCCCAAAACATCCTAAAACTCAATCAAGCGGAATTAAAGGACGACAACAAGATAGATACAACTACCAACTTCACGGAACCGAGTCCGGAATACAACAGAACAGTAAAGGGACAACCGGGATCGCTATACTATCTATTTTTTTGGAAAATATCCAAACCCTTTTTCAGCTTTTTCTTTTTCCGTTTATACCTTCCAGCCTTCAAAACAAGTATAGAATGCAGCGCACGCAAAACAAGGTACGGTCGCACGTGCGAGAAAAACCCTCCACACGTGCAATTTTTTAAGAATGCATGGGCTTTAGGAAAAGAGGCTGCACGTGCGGGAATGACCCTCCACACACATATGGGGTTGACTTTTCTTTTATGCCAAAACTCCATGCTTTTGCTTATTTTGTGCTTCCACAACATCCAACTTGATTAACATTAAACAATAGTAAAATGTACAACTTGAATCAAGAATAGGGTTAAGAAATCTCAATTATCGACTTCAATGATATACAATTCGGGCTCAATTAGGACTATTTTACCTTTATAGAATTTTACTATAATATATATATATCATAAATATATATATATATATATAATATTTTATATAAATATAGAAGATTATTATTCTTAGTGTTTTGTTTGCCTCAATGTGAGAGATTCACTTTTTATCAATGATTTTCCTTTACCATTATTTTATAATAAGCTTTTACCATTGAAGAACATTTATAAAAGAAAGTTAGCTATATATGTAGACCGATAATAGAGATGATTATGGACTCGCAACAAAGATGATGGTAAACCGATGATAAACAATCTTTTTTTTTTTGCCATTATTATACATAAGCTGTAGTCTCTTCATCGGGTTTGTGTAATCATCGATATTATGTAGTTTATTCATCGGTATTATGCTGAAGTTGATTATATACAATTTTTTTTAAAAATGTGCATCAATATATAAGAACTATTTGATGATTTGTTGTATGTTGTTTGTTAATATGCTTGTTGGTTGAGCAATCATTTTTATTGATATTGAACAATCGAAATAGCCAATTGTCACTTTTTTTAATTTGTTTCGTATTTTCACGTTGCATATGTGAATGTTCACATTGGTATGAGTTTAGTTTTTCTTAAAGCTAGTTATATGTTAATTGTAAACTGTAAACATTCACATTATATTTTGGTATAAATTTTATTTTTTCGAAGGTTACTTGTATATTTGTTCGAAGGTTACTTGTATATTTGTTGTTATTGTTACTATACTTGTTGGTTGAACAATCATTTTTTATTACTATTGAACAATTGAAATAGTCGATTTTCACTTTTTTTTTTTATTTTGTATTATATTTTCACGTTATAGTATGAATATTCACATTGTTATAAGTTTAGTTTTTTTAACGGTAGTTGTATATTAATTGTAAACTGTGAACATTCACATTGTATTTTGGTATGAGTTTTAATTTTTTTTAAAGGTTAGTTGTATGTTCGTTGTTTATTTTGAACATTCACATTATACTTTGATATGCATTTTGTTTTTTTGAAAGTTAGTTGTATATTTGTTATTTACTGTGGACATTCACATTATATTTTGGTTTTCATATAGATTTTTTGTTGTATTATTTTTAAATTTTCACATTATAAAAAAGTGTGAATGTAGGATATTTATTAGCTTCCATAATTTTAAAAGAGTAAGATTTTAAATAGGATATTTATTAACTTTCATGATTTTCTTCTAACATATAGATTCTAATTCAAATAGCGGAAGTATTTAAACTAGAGTGATTTTCTCCTAAAATATAGATTTAGTTTTTATTTATTTATTTGATTTTTTTTTTTGGCTAAATCTAAACTTGGGGTTTTTGGTCTTTTGAATGCCAATAGGATTAAATGGGTTATTAAAAATTAACTTGGATTAATTGGTATATAAGTATCAAAAGTAGAATTTTTGAAAAAATCTCCCTAAATAAAAATATTGGAGACGTTTATTAACGTTTAAAGAAAAAATCAGAATTTGTCTCAAATTGTTTATTTTAAAGAGAAAATTGTTGAAAAGTTCAACCTAAAGAAGGTATAAGGTATTAGGTCTAGTAGATATTTTTGTTAGCGAGAGGTTCACCCTTTGTGAAATAGTTTGGTGAGAAGTTGTTTTGTTTATTTTGAAGGATATTTTATTTTCAATTTTACCCTTAATCTATCGACTGACTTTTTTTTATATGTTTAATTTTTTGACTATCTGTTCAAATTATTTTCTATCTATTTAAATTTATATCTATCTATTCAAATTTTTTGACTATCTAATCAAATTATTTTCTATTTATTTAAATTTATATCTATCAATTCAAATTTTTTGACCATGATCAAATTATTTTTTACCTGTTCAAATTTTGTGACTATCTATTCAATATTTCCCCCTATCTGTTCAAATATCTGTCTAAATTTTATTATATGTTAATTTCTTACCCTAAATTAATTTTTTTTTTTTTGAATTTTTCTATCTGTTGAAATAATAATCCAAACCATATCCTATCTGTTGAAATAGATAGACAAGCCTACCCCTATTTGTTCAATTTTTTCCTATTTGTTCTCTATCTGTCTCTCTCTATCTCTGTTCTCCTATCTGTTGCAATTTTGTCATCATCATCGTCATCGTCGTCGTCGTCGTCATCATTATCATCGACAACAACAACAACAACAACAACAATAATCATCATCATCAACAAGAACTAAAAAAAAAATTAGAGATCTAGTTTCTGTGTGTGAATCATAACTGTATGAATCGTTGATTGTTATAGCTTAGCATTAAAAATCCAAAACTTTGAATAATTGAGATACAATATAAATATACAGATATGAAAGATTAAAGAAATGAATGAATGATGAGTAGAGATAGCAACGGCGGTGAAGCACGAGGTGTAGTAGTGGCAATGATCAATAATGGTCTGGTGTAGATCTGAGATTTGTGTAGCCATCAATCTCAGGTATATGTCAGCGAGGTTAGAAAGGAGATAAGAGAGAGAGAGAGTAACCTTGGCTTGGCCGTTCTAGACAATGAGCTTGATGGTGACTAAGACTAAGAAATTCTACGATGATTTTAGAACCGATGGACAATGAAGGTCGAGAAGAAGGTGAAGATTGGTGAAGAGAAGAGGAATCTCTGTGTTTGTTGAATCTTTGTGCTTGTTGGAGAAGTCTCGACAACGTGAATGAGGGACGCAACTGTGGAGGCTGAGATGGGGGTCGACGACTGGTGAAGATCGATGAAGAGAAGATAAGAAGAGAAAGAGTAGGTGGTGCCGGAGGTGGTGGTCGTGGCAATCATGATAACGATGGCAGTGGTGAAGGCGATAGCATCAGTGTACGAGTTGGAGGAGAGAGAGTGAGAAAACAAGAGAGAGAGAAAGTAAAGAAAGAGAGAAGATAGAAGAGAGATGCAGTATGACTGTTGTTAGGGTTTGGACCGTCTATATGATATATATATATAAGAAAGGACATTTTGGTCATTTTGTTTGAGCTTGTCCTTTTAGACAAAGTATTTCAATGCATGAACCTTTAATTATACAAAATTGAAATAATGGTGCTACAAACACCAATTACTATACCAATTAGTGTATCAACACATGCTATGGTAATGCAATTTCAAAATTATGAACCACACCCATTAAAACCAATAAAATTATGTCATATCATCTGTTAGTACACTAATTGGTATATCAGTTTGTGCGTATAGTTTTATTCAAATTGAAATTTCGATTTATGGATTGACTACCCTATTTTAAATCTTATATCCATTAATTACTCTAAATTCTTTTCAAATTTAATGCATTTTCTTCATTTATGTATTTTATTTTTAGATCATATTTTCTTCATTTATTAAACATAAAATCACCTTATCTATACATTATTAACATAGGTCCGACTATATAACTTGCAGTCCAACCCAATAGATGTGGGGCCTAATACCACTGAAGGACCATGATAGAGTGGAGGAAGAGAGGCATAAGGTAAGAATAGAACAAAATTGAGATGTGGGGCTTGATACCATTGAAGGACCATGATAGAGTGGAGGAAGAGAGGCATAAGGTAAGAATAGAACGAAATTGAGATGTGGGGGCTTGATACCACAGAAGGACCACGATAGGAGTAGAGAAAGAGAGGCATAAGGTAAGAATTGAACGAAATTGTCATTCTTTAAATTTTTTTATGGAATTGCTATTATCTTAAAATGGTGCAAGATAATTTTATTTATAATATATTTATAATTATTTTTTTAGTTAATTAAATATAAGAAGTTAAAATTGTTGATATTAAAATTGCAGGAAACAAGGTGTGACTTCATTCGAACTACAGGACTAAGTTTATGTTGTACTCTTCTTCTTTTCCCCTATAGTCATACATACATTCAAGTCATTTCATTTTTTGACAGCTACGTTCCATTTTCCATGTCATATTTCAATTGGATGGCATAATCATTGTTGTACATCATTATGAGCACTGTCATTATCTTGAATGTACTAACAGATTAATTATAGGTACATGCAAGCTGTTGTAGATGAAATCATTTTTGGAAATGTTGATCCACTGAAGGTAGGTAGAAATTTCCGCCTAGAGTATGGTATATGGATGTCTACGTTTTTCTGATTATGAATCACTTTATTTGTCTTATAGCATCCAAGCAAGTGGAATTTGGGAAAGCTCTTGAAGGAGTTCAATGGAATTTCAGGGAAGATATTGAATGGTGAGCTTGTAAATTGTCATTTTGTTCTGTAATCTTGCATATTGTTTGAGTTAGATGATCTATATAAATCATCAAGGAATGGATCTTCTACAGACTCATTTGTGGCGATTACAGAGGTAGCTTTACGGGAATCCCTCACACAGCTTCATGAGTTAAGTTCTGTAAGTATTAACGATTTTCACCTTCCAAACTTGCCCTCACCTCCAAATGCCTTCAGAGGAATACGTAGGAAGAGCTCCTCATTGAAACGTTGGCTTGCCGTATGCTCAGATGATTCAGCTAAGTGAGTGCATTCTTAATTCCTTGGTGTTGTATATTAGGATATAATGAAGAAATTCATTTGGCTTTTAATTTTTATGCGGCAACTTATAATTTTGGGACCAATTAATGCAGAGATGGAAAGTACCGACCAACTGTTAATCTTCTCCGCAAGTACCTTGGAGATTTTATAATTGCTTCATATTTGGATGTTGTACAAGAATCTGGGTATGATGATGCATATATGAAGGAAATAGAGGTAACATCCTTCCTATGCATTCTCTAGGTGATGGATCAGATTCTTTACTTTTTCTTTTTTTGATAAATAGGGATCAGATTGGGCATTGCTTGTTAGTATGACCTAACCATCCGTGAACACACGCAGGATACCTCTAGGTCTACCTGAAAATAATAAAATTTCAATTATTGTAATTGTTAGACCTAAAAACCATTGATATAATATATATGTATTTGGTGAATTTACATCACCACTTGGGGCCTCTCTCATCTAAGTGAATAGCATTGTTATCTTTGAAGATGAGAATTTTAAATCAATTCTTTTATTCCCCAACTCTTCTTGCACATGAATATCTTTCACAGACACTTTCAGTCTCCAAAATTGACTGGTAATCATTTTACTGACTTAAAAAAATTATTTTTCACTTTTTGTGTTTCTTGTGGAATGCAGAGGGCAGTTCTTGTGAAAACTCTAGATTGTTTCTGGAGGGATCATCTTGTCAACATGAACAGGCTCAGTTCGGCGGTATAGTTCATAATTTTGTGGATTCAACTCTTTTAAGTTATTTTATTTTGTTTTTATTTTGTGTGTGTGTGTGTGGGAAAAGGCTTATTTGGAATGTGTTTATGTAGGTAAATGTCAGAAGTTTCGGGCATAGGAATCCACTTGAAGAATACAAAATTGATGGTTGTCGATTCTTCATTTCTATGCTCAGTGCAACTCGAAGGCTAACTGTAGAATCACTCTTGCGGTATTGGTCATCTCCCATGGAGTCCCAAGAACTTTATGTATCGTAGAAGTAGAATCGTTTTCTTTGCTAGAGGTATGTATTACCTTTTTTGTTTGTTTCTAATCATCTTATTTGTTTCAGATTGAAATTTCTAACTTGCATGGTAAGCTATTGATTGATACTAAAGAATCTCAAATACATGCATTAATTTGGCTTGTTTCCAGTCCAGGTTGATCTGGTCTTTTATTTGATGCAGTCCATTGGTCTGAGGGGCATAGTCAAGAATTTTATTCAGTGGGATCATTCAACAAGTTATCATCAATGTAAGATTTTCAGTTATATACAACCTGTCAAAATCAATTTTCACACGATAAATTGTTCCAATAACATCAAGAACTTCTATATGCACAGCAAAGATCAGATTAGGGCATAAAATTCATACAAACATAGCTAAAACAGAGGCATCCGTCTGGTACTTTCGACTTGGAAAACCAACAAACAGATAGAATTGATCAAAATTCAAGAAAGAACCACTTCCAATTAGACCACAAACAAAAACACAAAAAAAGAAATATTATATCCAGTGCTGAAAAATAAGTGAGAAATGAACTCTCAGCTAGGTTTTGTTTTTTTAGAGTGACTAATGTTTATTTATTTTTAACTATTTTGGTCTGTCTATCAATGTAAAGCTTTTTAAAAAAATTTAGGAATTTTTTTTACTAGAAAAAAAAGAGGCCAATCTCAAACCACATGTGAAGTTATTTTTGTCTCATATTCTGGCTCAAACTTGTAAAATAATAAAGAAGTCATAAGCTGATGCTGTTTGTGTAGGACCTCTGAATAATTTATTTAAGGGTAATGATACATCCCACTAAAAGTGGTGCTCTAAAGCACCACTAATGAGTTGGCAAGCACTTTAATCAAAAAAAAAAAAAAACAAGACACAAACAGTGGGTCCCGTCCACTGCCACATCATTAGTGGTGCTTTTAGAGCACCACTTTTAGTGTTCTCAAGCATTATTGTTTATTTAACTAAGTGGCTTATGTACTAGATGTTAGTTTATGTATCAATTCATCAAATGGAGCAATTGTTGTTTCTTCGATCCAATGGATAGTTGTCCTACACTATCTCTACTCTTCCCCCCACAAGGGTGTTTTAATTTTTTTGATGAATTTTGTCAAACTTGCAACCATTTTTATCAATTGGATGCCATTTTGAAACTTTTTTTATCTTGTTTACCCTGTTCCCATATAGAATTTTTCCTTGTTTTTTGATCAAATCATGAGTCATGATGCCGTTTTGAAATTAAAGGCCTTGTTTGGTTTGTATTTGAGAAATATGTTTTGAGATAAAAAGTACGAAAATTTGTTTGGTTTTTTTTTTTTTTCAAAAGATGTTTTGAAAAATTATTTTGAGAGAGAGTTTTGGAAAAAGTGATTGATTTGATGTGCATGAGAGAGAGATTTGTTTGGAAAATTTGTAAACCAAACAAGTTTTGGAAATTTTTTTTGGAAAAATTTGTTTGGTTTGATTACTTTTGAAAACTTATTTGTAGAGAATTTTTTTCAAAATTTTTTGAGAAACACAAACCAAACAAGGCCAAAGTCTTTTTGATTTGATAAAAATCACTGTTGATGTTGAAATCAAAATTCTCATATACATACAGGTGGGCAATGATTTATGAATACCGAGCTAGATCTTTATTATTATTATCATTTGCATCTGAGCCCATTTATTTTGTTTGGATCTGAGCTGATACTCGGTTACCATCACATAGTATAAGAGAAAGCTGTCAATCAGTTACCAGCATGACATAGAAACTATCCCATATGACCACTTTCATTTTCTAATCCAATAATGTTGCTAAATATTTCCGTTGTGTATCGGTGTTCCTTACAGGTCACTTGAATAATCCGTGGCATCCAAAACCCACCAAAGCAGTATCAGTGTCAAAGCTACACCAAGACCTACTGGTGCATAGTTGAAGGTGTTCCATATCTAACAGGGTAGAGTTGGCAATCGGAAGGCCAGGCAGATATATCATATCCACACAATAGGGCTGCCAAATCCACCTTACTTTACTCCATAATTGGGACGTCGTAGCAGCCAACCCACCCCTATTGTGCTTGTGGAAATGATGTCGGTAAAAGGTCACATTGATTTTCAAGATGGGCAGAGATGACTGTTGATGCTGGAAAAAAAAAAAACTAAAAATGTAGATGACTGCACAGAAACACACAGCATCTGTTGGGACCTTGAATTCTTTTGCCAAATTGGTGATTTTTTTGTTAGTTTTTTTCTCGGTGAAATGGGATAGACAGTTGTGCATGTAATGCAAGAGAGCACAATTTTAGAATTTGAAACTGTGAATATCAGCAAAAAAAAGAGAATGAATTGTAGATGTGGCGAGTATTATGTTGTGTTTGTAACAGTGCCCCAAGGTGGGTGAGCTGCAAATTATGAAAATGTATTTATTCAATAGGTTTGTATCACAGACTTGAATGGACTCGTAAGTTTGAATGAATAATTGATCAGAACATTCTCTTTGATTTCTTGGTGGACATGTGAAATCTGGTATTCTGAGCCTTTGAAAAGCAAGACTCTAAACGTGAAAGTGTTTTTGAAGAATTTAGTGGAGTGTGAAAGGATAGTTTTTGAGAGTGTATTTAGGTTATATTTGGATTATAAATTTGGGTAGAGGTTCGAAAATGGAAAGGGAAAAGAAAAATGAGTGTGAAATGTAGTTATATTTCATTTAAATTTTGTTTTGTTTTTGTTTTCTGTTTTTTAAATCTCTACCAAAGTCGATAATCTAAATACCATCTTAATGGAAGGAGAGATATACGAGTGCTTCTAAAATACACTTTGACAATAATTCTCTCCATATTCACCCTTTTTATGTACTGAAAACTACAAAGTGATTTTTTTTTTTATTTTTTTGAGTGTATTTAGCATCACTCGACTTCATTACCTAGGCTTCTCAGATGGTAAATGGATGTAGGTTATATTTGGATTATAAATTTGGGTAGAGGTTCGAAAATGGAAAAGGAAAAGAAAAATGAGTGTGAAATGTAGTTATATTTCATTTAAATTTTGTTTTGTTTTTGTTTTTTGTTTTTTAAATCTCTACCAAAGTCGATAATCTAAATACCATCTTAATGGATTAGAAATTGAATGGGTCATAAATAAAGTAGCTTTGTCTTAATTTTGATGTGAAAGCTTTCTTTTTATCAAGCTTTAAAGAGGCGGAACATGGCTGTAAAGAGGCGGCTGGACGCCGGTGATGAGCCAGTGGAGAGGCGGTGGTGCTCAGAGTAAGGAACGAAGCCAGGGTCTTTTCACTGTATTTGTTGACAACATTCCTACAGTAATGGATGCTAAAGCATTGTACAAACTCTTTACCAAGTTCGGGATCGTGAAGGATGCTTACATCCCATTCAAAAGAAGGAAAGCGACGAACACAAGGTTTGGGTTTGTCCGTTATGACTGTTGTGTCTCAGCATCTGTTGCCATCCAAAAAGCGAATGGCCTGTTTGTGGATGACACGATGCTCGTGGTTAAAATGGCTACCTATGGCAGGAATACCAGACCCGAACAGAGCAACCGTAAGCCACAGGATTCTAAAAGGAGCATAGTTACAACTAATATCAGAGGCAGTGGTGCACACGTAGGCCACAGAACTTTTGCTGAAGTGCTAAAAGGAGATGCCTCTATCGTGGATGGGAACTCAAATATAACTCTAAAAGTTCATGAAGAGGGCAATGGCTGGCTCTATGATAGTGTTATAGTCAGATTTAATGCAGAGTATACCACACACAGCATTATGAAAGCTCTGGCAGAGCAAGGTTTGGAGCAGGTTGAAGTCAGGAAAGGGGGAGGTCGTGATATATTAATATCCTTCAAATCTTCCGTTGAGCTTCAGTCAAACATTGGAAAGATTACAGAGTGGCTGAAGGACTGGAGTCAATTTGTGATGGTTTGGAAGCCAAATCTCCATTTGCAGCAGGAGATGTGCGTTTGGTTGAGATGCTATGGTATACCCCTGCATCTATGGAATAGAAATACACTCAACAGCATTGGTAAGGTTTGGGGCACCATCCTCAGCCTAGATGGTGATATCTGCCATCCTAAATCTTTTTCTCACGCCAGAATCAGAGTAGCTACTGCATCCATGGAATATATAAACAAAACTATTTGCTTGGAGTGTAAGGGCCTTTCTTATTACATTCTTGTATGCGAAGACCATCTAGCAGATTCTGATGGGATGAAGACATCAAGAATGGAAGATTCCGACTTCACAGAAGCCAGCAATAGTGAGGCGGTTAGCAACACTCCAGAGGCAGCTGCAAGGGTCAAAAACGATGGTGATGAGGTGGCACAATTGAGTGTTTTGCTCGGAACTGATCTGGTTTGCACTAACGAGACTAAACAAAGGAAAGAGCCTAGTTGCAGTCTTATAGGGGAGGAATTAGGAACTGTGGTTGAAGAGACTCTCTGTCCTGGAGGCTCCATCAGGTCAGAGGGAGCAAGCGTTGAGGGGACTTTGATGGAAGGATCAGACCAAAATTCAAAAAATAATGATGGCAGGTTGAAGCGTGTTCAGCAAGCTCCTTCAGGCAAACCTATAGACGGATGTGGGCCGGGTATTAAGCTGGATGTCAATTTAGCCAGCGAACCTTTTGGAGACCTTGGGCCTGGCATTGGGCCTGGTATCAATTTGGAGGTTAATTTGGGCCATGTACCAAACCAGTCCCTATCCAGTGATATGGCCCTTTTGCAATCTGCTGGGCGTTCAAAATAGTTGGGGCCAAATGAAGTAAGCTTGTTAAGTCTCAATCCAAAAGGCCAAGGTAAATCTATTATTCCTTATACAGAACCATTGCAAACTGAGAGGAAAAAAGGGAAGACGAAGGCTCACATAGAGGGATTTAACAGCTTTGCTAGATTCCATGGATTCAGAACCGCAGCAGCTCTCAAGAAATCTTCCAAGTCTGTTATCTTTAGACCGGCAGCTTCTACCTTTGCTCAGTCTGATTTATCTGAAAGTGGATCATCTTCTAACAATTATCTTCTGGATGAAGCCGAAGCTACAATCCAATTGGGGAAATCACTGGGTATTAATTTTAACGGTGAGGAGGATGTGGTTTTAAACAAGATAATCGAACTTGAGATGAAGGATAAAGCCAGAATCACCAAGGAGGGGACGACTCAGAAATAAGTCACTGCAGATGGGTGATTTGAGTGTACTAATATGTTTAATTATGAAGCTTCTATCTTGGAATATTAGGGGTCTGGGTAAACCGGAGAAGAAAGGCAGAATCAAAAGTCTTATAAAAGACAAGCATGCTGATATTGTTTTCCTCCAAGAGACCAAGAAAGCAGTAACTTCTGATAATGCTGTTAGAAGGCTCTGGGGTTGCAGAAATATGGAATACATGTCTGTTGATCCTGAAGGCACTGCTGGGGGGCTTCTTTGTATCTGGGACCCTGCTGTCTTTCAACTCTCTGGTTGCTGTTGTAATAGGAGGTACATCTTGCTTTCTGGTTCCCTGTACAATTCTCTTGAATGTGTCTTAATTAACATATATGCACCAAATGATATCTGCGCTAGATCATCTCTTTGGGCTGACATTCTCAAGCTCAAAGACCATTTCCCTGCTCCTTGGTGCATGGGCGGGGACTTTAATGAAATAAGGCATATAGGAGAAAGGGTAGGCTGCTCCAGGAGGGATAGAGGGATGCATCATTTTAATGAGTTCATTGGAAAATGTGAGCTCAATGACTTACCTAAAAGTTTTGAAGAAGAAGAACAGGTACTTTTCCCAAGTCAAACGAAGTTAAATGAGGGGAAGAAGAGATCTCGTTTTCGTATTGAACTGAAAAAAGACAATGACGTTTTGTGCCGACCATGCATCGTTTTGCAATTTCATATTCCATATACACACACATACATATATAGATATATTGATAGTAAGGTAACGAATATATAAATAGTAGTCTTTGGTTTGGAGTATGTGTTAATGAACACCAAGTATTTAGCTGAACATCTCCACATGTTCACTGTTTTCAAGAAACACGGTTCCTGGGTTAGACAAATATTTGAAGTGCAATGAAAAAATATTTGAAGTCCCTTCAAAACCAAGAAGAAATCGTGCAAACCTAATTGATCCCTTCATTATAAAAACCACACGGTCTTAATTTTTAACATTAAAGGGAAAAAGAGTTGTACAATAAGACAAAAATATCACTGGGAGACAAGTCATGTAAGTCGTGCCTTTGCCCTTTCAAAACTGAGATTAAAAATGGGAGTTGCCACTTGCGTCCGAAATTACGGGGTGCACTTGGATTTTTTTTTTTTTATCAGCAAAAGGATACTTCATTGATGTAAAGACTAGTACAAGGTACAAAAGTATTACACCAATAAAGAAAAGAGGAGTGCAGGAGCATCACGATGGGCTAAATGGTCCCAACGAGGTTGGCAACAAAAAACCCAACCTATCATTTGCTAGCACCCCAAAGTTGGTGAGGAACCAACGAGAGAGACACACCAAAAACCGAACCAATGCAGCAATGCTGCTAAACAACAACTGCTAGACACAACCAGGCAGAGAACCAACCAGGCTGCACAAACCAGCAGAGCAAACAGATCAGAATACACCACCCAAATAGATCAGAATCTGTTTTAGCCAGCAGTCCAGTAGCCAACAGATTGCAGGAGTAGAAAAAACATTAGCAAACAAACCAGTATCTAACAAACCAGTAGCAACAGCACAGCAGAAGTAGAAAAATTTGCGGAATTAGCGAACAACCTAGAAGCTCATCCAGCAAACAAACCACCATCTTGAGCAACCAATCCACAAACAGATTGCAGGAGACCCACAGCATTGTAAGGCAGCTTAACTCCTATTTTTTGGGCACTACAGCATCCCAGGTAGCCTACAACCTTGCAGCAAACAGAACCAACATGCCCAGCAGTCCCAGGCAGATCAGATCCGGCATGCCCAGCAGACCAAATAGAACAAGCCACCTCCTCTGCACTAGCCAAAATCCTATGACAGAGCAACACTGTTAAGCAGAACAAGCCAAAAGGAGACCAATGCAGCCCTATATCAGCAAGACAAAATACACACCCCACTCCAGCCCACTTCAACCCACTCCAAGTAGCACAAACATTCACACTGCCAGATCAACTTCAGCCTCACAAATCAGATCCAAACTCCACCAGAGCTCCATCAAACCACCAGTGCAGCCTCCTACTATCTGCAGAATGAGGATTATTTAATTTCTTGGGTCATTACAGGACTGCAGCAAAACAGACACTGAGGCAAAACAGAACTTCAGCTGGGCATACTTCAGGCTAGAACCAAACCACCTCTACTGATCTGAACCATACTGACCTTAACCTACTACTGCTTTGAATCTTACTGCCATCTGATCTGGTAGAGGTTGGACACTAAATCATGGACTGAATACTCCACCTTCAAGTGCCATTTGGACCACAAAGCTACCTGCACCTTCACTTGTTCGCAAAGAACTTGTATATCAGGAA